CCAATCCTTTCTCTCCATGCCTTCAGGAACTCCTAGAACTCGAATGTTGGTTTTTTTAATAGTATCCTGTAGATTCCCAACAATATTTTTTAGATTTCTAATTTCCTCTTCTTTTCTTTGGTTTGACTGTATGTTTTCCTGTGCTCTATCTTCTAAGTCCGATATTCTCTCTTCTCCTTCACCCATTCTGTTTTTAAGGCTTTCTAATGTGTTTGTCATTTGATCTATTGAGCTCTTCATTTCATTTTGATTTCTCTTCACTATCACACTTTCCTGTTCTACTAGTTTCTGAGTTTCATTTTGATTCTTCCTTAAAATTTCATTTTCACGAGAGAGATTTTCAATCTTGTCCAATAAGGATTTCTGTAGTTCAAGGATTTGCTTTTGAAAACTTCTAAATGTTCTTATCATAAATTTTTTGAAATCCGTATCTTCCATTTCTTCTATCTCATCATCTTCATAATCTTGGTTTGGGGTGTTTTGTTTATTTGGAGGCATCATAATGTCATCGTTGATCTTGTTCCCTCGATTTCTGTGTTTGTTACTTGGCATAGTTAATTCTTCTTGCGTCACTGTGCATTTTTTTTAATTTTTTTTTATTTTATACTATGTCCGTGTTAAGTGGACTGCCTGCTGTTGGAGGAGCCTTGGAGGCCTGAGATGGGTGCGGGCTGAGAGCTCTGCTTGGTTCTTCCTGGTTAAGGGTGTGCAAAGGTGACACCCTCAGGTTATGCGTGGTAAATCTCTCTTTTTATTTATTTATTTATTTTATTTATTCAGGGGGTAAGTAACACCGCAGGGCAGGGCTGTGCAGAATTGATGGTATTTAGCATCCAGTCTCTGGCTTCTACCCCCAGAGTCCCTTTAGGCTCCTCTGGACTCCCACTGGGTTGCCTAGGCTACTGAATTGTAGTGACTCAGTTCCTTAGCTCTCCGCTTTTGATATGTAAATCCAGAGAGGGGGCCTGCTCTTTGTCTCTTGGGAATTCTTCAAGCCTTGCAGCCTTGCAACCTTTGCAAGGTTAGGGGGAAGAGAAACCCCAAAGCTTTTTTTTTTCCTTCTTTCCGGTAGTGAGTTTGCTGCACTTTCTGGCCCCCCTCTAGATTCTGGCCCCCGTTTCCCCACCAATGTCTCGGGATATTGAGCTCACCTCCCCTTCCAGAGCCGATGTGTGGACTTGGAGCCCTGGACGTCCCAAGTCTCCCCGCTGTTGTCTGTGTGGCATGCACTCCCCTTCAAGCACTGGCGCGCAGACCCTGCGGCTTCCGTGGTTCCGCTTCCGCATGGTGGGTGACCTTGTTTTCCCAGTAGGTCCTCCGATTCCCAGCCACTCGATCCAGAAGAGTTTCCTCTGCAATATTTTCCTGGTTCTTTTTTCTGAGGCTACCGTAACTCCCCTTTTATTAAACTAAATTTTCCCGGACTATCGGTGCGCGCCCTCACTATTCCGCCATCTTGGTTCCGCCCCCAGTTAGAACTCAGAACTGTGTTCTTAATAGGATGGATTTCCATCTTCCTTTTTATACTTGACAGTAGAGTAATTTTTGTATCATTATAAACATACGGATCTAATTCTCTTCAGTGACTGTATAAGATTACATTTTATTCCAACACAAGTGGTTTCTATTTTGTGTGATAATTCTGATTTTTTACCATTAAAATAATGCTGGAGTGAGAAACCATACCTGAGCATCCCTGGAACTGTTTTGATGACCTGCATTATTTGAGAATCACTAGGTCAAGTACATTCCTGTTTAAAATGTTGCTAGGTCCTTCTGAATTATCCTCCAGGATTGCATCCGTCTAGACTTCCACAAACAGTGAGGTAAATCTCCTGTGCTTTCCATCAACACCAGGTTTTTATAATTCACATTCCTTTCAGTGAAGCATCTCTGCTTCAACACAAGACATTTGGAAGGGAAGAGCTGCCCTTCCATCATTCCCTGTTGGCACACCAAGGGCAGGCGGTGTAGAGGAGTCCATTAAAGCTAACAGGGAGGTGAGCATCTGTTAAGCTAGAAACAGAGGTGTTTGGCTTCCATTCCTTTTTATTAATTTAGATAATGGTTATGGAAGGCTGTTACTGGCCAGGGACCCTGGGAATAGCATGATAAACAATACCATGCTCTGCCTTCACGAGCTTGCATTTTAGACTGGGTCAGCCTTGAGCACTTCCAGTAGAATATAATGTCAAGTGTGGTGAAGACTTCAAATGAAAAATAAAGCAGAGAAAAGGACAAGGGAGGAGGTGTGTATGGGGAGACCAGGTACAGGAGAGGATGCCATTTGGATGGTCTTGGAAGGTTCTCTGCTGATGGGACTCTTGAATAGTGACCCACGTGCAGTGAAGTCTGAGCCCCACTGATAACCTGCAGAAGGCCCCATCCTGCTGGAGCTGGCAGTAGCAAGCACAGAAGGCCTGAGGAAAGAGCCAGTCAGGCAGGTTCTAGAAGAAACCCCAGAGCTGCACTGACTTTTGATTTGCTAGAGGAAGATAATTGAGCTACTTACTTTCTTTGTTGAATGCTGTGTTCAGGTGAATGAAACCTTGAACCACATGTGTGTATCTCTGAAGGAGTGAAGCTGTTCATGTACCATAGCCCTTGAACCACTAGAATGCAGCATCTTAACCAGTAGACAGCAAGTCTCTGTCAGCATTCTGCATAATGAAGTGGCATTCCATGCCAGCTCTTTCACTACCAGAAGGATGACTTTGTTGAAATATACACAGGAGTTGAACAGACCTCCGCACCTTCAGTGTGGAAAAGACTAGAGCAGTACACTTTTGTGCCTAACTGCCCTTCATTCTGCCTCTTTGTGTTGTACATTATTAAATGTGCTTTCAAAGCTCTGGTGCTCACAGCTGAAAACAAAGTAGGTTGGTGGACAGTCACAGACAGCACTGTCCAGTCACCAGGCCAGGTAGTTTCTCCTTAACCACTGTGCCACATGCCCTACTCCACCCATTATTAACTCTAGGCCTTTCAGAGTTATTGGCTATGTTATAAAATTTCTAGCTTTCTGAGGGGTTTTGTAAATCTTTAAAGTAAAAAATAAGAACATGTGTTGCCGCTGTTGTGGCTTAGCTGGTAAAGCCGCTGCCCATGATACCAGCATCCCACATGGACACTGATTCAGAGTCTCAGCTACACTTCCAATCCAGCTGTCTGCTAATGCACTTGGGAGGGCAGCACAAGATACCCAAGTGCTTGGGCTCCTGCACCCACGCTCCTGTCTCCTGGCTTTGTTCTGGCACAGTCTTGGCTGTTGTGGCCATTTGGGGAATGAACTAGTGTATGGAAGACCTCTCTCTTTCTCTGTCTCTCCCTCTCTTTATGTAACTCTGCCTTTAAAATAAATGCAATGTTTAAAAGAACCTTTATCCATTCAAAGAAAGCCTCAAGTAGAAAGAAAAAGAATCTTGCAGACCCACGGTATAAACTGACCTAAAACCTTGACTGAAATTTTTGTTGAAGTTTGCTGATAGTGTTCTTCAGAAGTGACACATACTGACTTGTGTGAAATGAGCTGATTGATATTCTTGAAACTGTGTAAAAATCAATCTGCTAGTTTTTACATGATGTACCTGTTATACCCCTGAGCTACTCAAGAGCTGTTGGGTAGAGATGTTATTACTGCAAAGTGGTCACACTGCACAGCTCCCGTGTGCACCATTACACTCTGTGACTGGCACTTCCAGGGCTAGTGCTGTGCACACCTGGGAAGCCTTACCCACAGGTGGTGTGGTATGTGCACAATGTGTGCATGATGGTTCTCTCTTCATTTAGATGGTTGGTAGGGTTCCATTAGTACACAGTCCCTCAACTTGTGACTTTTCAGTATTGCTTACTAACAATTGCGGCCCTGAGGGGTTGCCCACTTTTCCAGAGACAAGGACAGGCCTAAACTTGCCTCCTGGAACTTTCTCTGAGTTATAAACCTCTTAGAGTTATTATACAACCTTGACATTTTGTATTTAATGGTGGATCTTTAAGCAGAGGTATCTTATAAGCATAGTGCAGCAATCATAGACTTATTTTTATTATTCTTTTTTTTTTGTTAAGGAGGAGGGAGTAAAGCATTGTTGGTCAGTGCACATAGTGCTTAATGTGGAGTCTGGAGGTGGAGATGGTGTTTTCTTACTTCTATAGTTTCTGATTTCCAACTATCTCCAAGAGGTAAACACTAGAATTAGGTCTAGGCTGTGGTTCTAGCTGGCATAGCTCTGTTTTAAATTTCATCTCACAGCTGCTTGGCATCAAGATTTCCAGCTTTCCAAGGCTGGCCACACATTTAAAGCAAGCATCTAAACAAGTTGTTAGAGGAAAAGACACAGCCATGGTAACGATGACACTGAATGAATCATTTGTGTGATATCTGACACCTCATCACCTAGTTGAAATATCTATGTGTTTGCTGCAATAAAAATAATTCAGACTTACTGAAACTATACATTTTCATTCCTTCCACATATGAGACAATCTATTTTCTGACTCATTGGGCTTCTAAAATTCTGTGGTTAGGGGCTAGTGTTGTGGTGCAGTGGGTTAAGCCACCACCTGTAATGCCAACATCCCATACTTGTTTTCGTTATGTAATCCAGTAGTTGAAAAACAGCCACCACTCCCAATACATGAGTTGTATAAAAGCAATTTCACTTTATTTAAACACTCTAAGGAGAAAAAGCAGATGAGTATGTACTGTCAAATTTTAGATCGAACGGTGGAATAAATTCCATGACAAAAGTGAAACAAACAATCGACTTGTGGCCCCACTGCACTGGACCCTGGCCTCCCTGCCTACTTGGGACAGACAGCAGGAGCTCAGGAGAAGCCTGGAGCCACACCCCCTGTGCAAGCCTACACAGGCTTGGTCTTTGTTTTCTGATTGGTTGGAGCCTGGAGGTAATCCAATCAGACTTGATATATGCCGTTGAATACTGAGTTTATAAAAAGGGTACTCAGTGCTGCTGTTTCCCTTTTCTCTTCTTGGTGTCCAGCATCGTGGAGTTCTTCATTGGAACATGTGCTAAGCCCAGGCCCTAAGAACAAGGAGGTTAGCAGCCAGGAGCAATACCTGCAGGAAGGGCCGGGATGTTGGTGTCGGAGGAGTGGCAGTGAATTCAACAGGACCCTCAGGTTTATCCATCCTCGCCTGGTGAGTCTTGAAATGCTTGTGTGTATCATTCATATATTTATATATTATAAATTTAATATCACATGTTCTAAATAGATTGCAAATTGTATATTGTAAAACGTATATGTGCTCGGGATATCACATACAGTTCCAGGAGGTGTGAGCCTACCTGGCTGAATTCTGATGCCAGGGTGGGTGAACCAGCAGCAGGTGAGTCACCTTCTTTTGGGTGGGTGATTTAGATGCCCAGCGACTGTGTTAATTTCCAGGTCTCTTGTTTCATTTTCTGGATTTATAGTTTTACTTAGTGGATAGGAGCTGAGAAAATGGATCTGGTCATCCAGCAAGGAGGTTCCTGCTCACAGGCTTTGCTTCCTGTTTTTCCTAATTTGCTAAGATTGTTTATCTCAGTTTGCATTGAGGGTTCTCCAACACAGCAGTGATAGCATTGATTGGTAAACACAAAATGATGGCTTAATAGGTGTCCTTCCCCCACTGAAATATAATCCTGTCTCTGTGATATCCAGTGTTTCCCTAATTTTATGAAAAAGTTCCTGAGGAATATATTGTTATATTGTAATGAATGCAGTTATAAGAGGAAACATATCATGTAAAATGTACATAGTCCAGTCATATTATTGCATTAACTAGGCATATGGGGACTCTGTTTATCATCAGAGGCACCTAGATCCGAGGATGGCACCGAAATTTTGAGAGGGAAGCATTACTTCCTAAGTATATTTGTTTCAGTTATAAAACTATAATGTTCTGAATAACTCAATACAGGTTCTTTTTACTTCTAAATTAGATTTTGAAATATTGAAATCATTTGGATTATGATATTTTTAGACCATATTTAGTCTGAGAGGCAGGGCATGTTCTGCACAGTATCACAATGGTTGCCATATAATGGTTCTAAAACATCGGTTGATGAATTGAAATCTCTATTTGTCCCTGTGTTTCAAACAACACAAAATTTCAAAATCCGTAGGTATTGTGTTTTATGGTTTAGTTCTTACAGTATGTGGTGAATCGAGTCTCCCTTCCTTCTGGTTAGCAGTTCCTAGTGTTGACACCCAAGGATCGTTCCTTGATCCTCATCTTATGAGATGCTGACCAGTGACTACTCAGAAACAGCCCTTTGGTGCACGTCCTCAAGGATGTTCCAGTTTCCTCGTCATCCACTCTTGCTGTTCCTGTTAGTGCTGATTGTTCAAATCCAGAAGTTGAAATGAACCCATATTAAGTCCAGGTGTTTGTTCTCACTGGTTTTCCCATCCTAGACAGCCTTATCTCTATACCGTGTTTCAGGAAGGTCTTGGATTTTTCTCGCCTCATTAGCTAGACCTGTTTATATTGCCCATGGTTTTCTCGTTTTGGCTATTTTAGAGCTTGGTTCGGTGATTCCATAATTCTTTTCCCTCACACACAACAAGCCAAGAAAAATCTGTTCTGTTGTTTTCTTTCTTTTTTTTTTATTTTTTTTATTTTTATTTTTTTTATTTTTTTTTATTTTTTTGACAGGCAGAGTGGACAGTGAGAGAGAGAGACAGAGAGAGAAAGGTCTTCCTTTGCCGTTGGTTCACCCTCCAATGGCCGCCGCTGCAGCCGGCGCACCGCGCTGATCCGATGGCAGGAGCCAGGAGCCAGGTGCTTTTCCTGGTCTCCCATGGGGTGCAGGGCCCAAGCACCTGGGCCATCCTCCACTGCACTCCCTGGCCATAGCAGAGAGCTGGCCTGGAAGAGGGGCAACCGGGACAGAATCCGGCGCCCTGACTGGGACTAGAACCCGGTGTGCCGGCGCCGCAAGGTGGAGGATTAGCCTATTGAGCCACGGCGCCGGCCTGTTCTGTTGTTTTCTCATGCTCCCAATCCACAGATGTTCTCTGATAACAATCACCAGGCATCTCAAAGGCTGGCTGGTCCCTACACCCTTCTCAAAGCCACATGAACATGTGATTATTTGCTTTTTGCTTTTATGTCTGAATTCTGTCACATTTTCCACACCTCTGCTCCTGTGACCACCATAAAACTTGAGCATCTCCCACAAAAATCCTAGGCTAGCAATTTCTAGTGTACTACTAATAAGAAGTTCAAATATAGAAACTTTCTGGGGAGATTCCAAAATTAGAGTGGTTTATGCCAAACATCGTAAGATGCTTTCCCTCTGTTTAACTAAAGTCAGATCTATGGGGGAAAACTAGATGGAGAGTTTGCTACAAACAATGTCTTTGTTTCACCTTTATAAAATTTTGTTTGTGAGTTATGTAGGCCTCAGTAATTATGAATGGGAAAACTAAAACTGTGACTTGCAATTCCATATTGCAAATATTGTAAAGTTTTCTACTGAAGTGCTGTGGTGAGAGAACAGGCATGGAGTCCAGGAAATCCTTCAGTGAACTGGTATATGTGTAGTTTCCAGAGTGCTGCTTTCAAAGACATTTAAACTTTGTAAACATTTTCTTACATATGATGTTAAATTTAAAATTGCTGCTTCAACAAACACTGAGCTCTATGTGATTGGTAACCCCTCCTATACTAATGAATACCTTGCTTGATTTTCCAACCTGATTACTTTGGAAGATGACATGTGAGTGTCAAATGGGGAAAGAAAGATTTTTTTAAAGATTTATTTAACTATTTGAAAGGCAGAGATACAGAGAGGCAGGGGCAGAGAGAGAGAAAGAGAGAGGTCTTCTATCTGCTGGTTCACTCCCCATAGGGCCACGATGGCCGGAGCTGAGCTGATATGTAGCCAGGAGCCCAGAGCTTCTTCTGGGTCTCTCACATGGGTGCAGGGACCCAAGCACTTGGGCCATCTTCCACTTTCCTAGGCCACATCACAGAGCTGGATCAGAAGTGGAGCAGTGGGGACTCAAACCACACTGTTATGAGATGCCAGCACTGCAAGCAGAAGCTTTTCCTGCTATGCCACAGTGCTGTCCCCAAGGAATATTCTTGTGGTAGACTAATGTTCATGGGTATAGCCCTCTGCTCTGTGTAGGTAGAATTTGAGTAAATCTTGGCAGACCCCTAAATTTTCGAGGTACATAGGGATACCATGATAAATGTTTTGGGACCCACAGTTTTCCAGAGAAACACTTCATGATATCTATCTACTGGGGTCCTGCCATTTATGAAAATGGGTTCTAAAGCAACCTGATTAATGAAGACATCACCACCTATTGATCCAGTGAAGCGAGTCCAGAGGGAGCACCTCTGACCCTGGCAGAGGCTCCACCCCTGGTGACTAAGATGCTGTAGACCTGTGCTGCAGCTCATTCCACAGGGAAGGCCCTACCATACTGCTGTGAGCATCCTGGTTTAATATTTTAGTATTGTCATGTTTTGATTTATTCTTCAACTTAAACACATGGTATCTCCATTTGGTTTGTATATTTCATCTTGCAGTTTTCACAGCTAAATTCCTTTTTAAAATAATTTTTATTTATGTAAAGGTGAACAGATATCATGTGTTTCATATACACAGATTGAGGAGTGTAGTGATACTTCTAACCTTTCTCCCCCTCCCCCCAGCATCCTGCCCTCCTTCCTCCTTCCTTTCTTGTGATTATAAAATAAACTGAAAGAATGTCATTGTGAAAATTGTAAGAAAGTGTAATTCTAACCTTGACAGAACTAACTACACAATATGTAGCTCCTAGTAGGAACTGAAAATGCAGATTTTGTTGTTTAAAAATTGTCATGCATTTAAATATGGAGGTGAGATGACAGTGTAATGTGTTACTTGGATGTTGTCTTGAATATTCTCTTGACAGAATTCCCAAATCTTTATTTTCAAGATATAAACTGCTGGAAATTTAGTTTGGTAAAGTTCATGAATGTTTTTCTTAAGATTTATTTATTTGAAAGTCAAGTTACACAGAGAGAGAAGGAGAGGCAGAGAGAGAAAGAGGTCTTTCATCTGCTGGGTCACTCCCCAGTTGGCCACAATGACCAGAACTGTGGTGATCCGAAGCCAGGATCCAGGAGCTTCTTCCAGGTCTCCCACACAGGTGCAGGGGCCCAAGGACTTGGGCCAACCTTTACTGCTTTCTCAAGCCATAGAAGAGAGCTGGATCATAAGTGGAACAGCTGAGACTTGAACCGGTGCCCATATGGGATGCCAGCACTGCATTTGGTGGCTTTGCCTGCTATGCCACAGTGCCAGCCCCAACCATGAATGTTTTAAAAATCATTTCTGTCCCATGAAGCCTACCAAAACCCCACAATATTAACCTAAGTTCCTTAATTTTTATTTGCATTTAAGTATAGGAACCTTTTTTGCATGTTTTATTTTTCCAGCCTTATTACAGTACAACTAAGAAACAAAAATTGTATATATTCAAGGCATGCAATATGTGTTTCTATATGAGTCTGATCTTTATATTGCATTTTCACACAAACCTTTGGACTCTCCTGCTACTTACAGTATACTAAGAAAGGATTAGTACAATGAAGCTACTTAACAAATTTATCACTCTTATAGTGTTTTTTAAACTTATCTCATTTTATTTATGTATTTTCCCAGAAAGCTTTTATTTAAGGTGCACATATTTTATGCATTCCATAAATACATCTTTAGCAGCATAATAATCCTTCCTACTGCACTTGCCCTCTCACTTATACTCCTATCATTTTATAGTGTTTTTTAAGAATACTGACCTAGGAAATTACAAGTACAGAATATAGGGTGAACTGGTTACCCGGGGTATATATTAGATTTTCAGAACCTCACCTCATAATTGTAAATTTGATTTTTTTATGATTTATTTGAAAGGCAGGGGCTGGCACCATGGCTCACTTGGTTAATCCTCTGCCCGGGATGCCGGCATCCCATATAAGTGCAGGGTTCTAGTCCCGGTTGATCCTCTTTGGTTCCAGCTCTCTGCTGTGGCCTGGGAGGGCAGTGGAGGATGGCCCAAGTGCTTGGGCCCCTACACCTGCATGGGAGACCAGGAGGAAGCACCTGGCTCCTGGCTTTGGATCGGTGTGTCGCCTGCTGTAGGGGCCATTTGGGG